TCAGGCTGTCCAAAATGAGCATCAACAAAAAAATAAAACATATATACAGTATATAAAAAAACATGCAACACTGATGCTTGAAATCAGGCATAGAACATATCTTCAACAAGTGTGTCTAGTAAAAAAAATATGATTTCATCAAAGCTCACGGTTCTTGATTCAAAGAGCTTCTGTATTGAATCTTACCATCGACGTTTAAAAATAGTGCTTTCATTTGTCCTAGAAAGTCAAAATATTTTTCCTTCTGAGTCTGAAATTTAAACTGCAATGCCCCTACTTTTTAGGATACAATTTGGATAGTCGGTACAACAGGAAGGCACCCATTTTCTGCATGCAAGACAGATGTAGCTTGCATCAACAGTAGTTTAATTTAACTTTCATACTCTTGCTGTTTGTTGCAATTATTTGTTATGAAGTCATTTGTATATGAGCTGCTTTTTAGTTTTTTTTTATAAGATAGGTCTTTCGACATTGTTTACATGCACAGACTACTGCTTAGAACTGTGCTTTTGTCACTGTTATGGCCGAAGTGGTAAAACAAGAGTTATCCAAGCAGGGCCCCACTTATTTACTGGTTGCTTCAATTCACAGAGGCTCAAACCTCAGTGAATTGCATAAAGATTGACAGGGTGCATTCTGCTTCTGTACCGTAGAGCGGAGGGGTGATTGCATCTGAGAGGAGGCTCAACAGCTAATTAATGCGCAACATACTTGTGAAATTTGGGGTATTTTGGGGCACATCTAATGTAGTTTGATGACTACAGTACATATTTGATGTTTAACTATGCTTATTTAAACAATTATTGTATGAAGGTTACAAGGAAGTTTTAACCTCTGTGGTATTCAGTGAGAAATTGCCACTGCCACATCTATCGAATAGAAGATTAGCAAAAATTTAAATGGGAGAGGACCTCTAGAGGGAAAAAAGCAAAGGTTAGCTTTCCTTTGAATCTTTGTTAAATTCCTAATCTCTCCAAGCATTCCCTTAATGTCTAAGGGGGTACTTTCCCATATGAGTTAATCCCCCTAGTGCTCTGGAGCATTTCCATCATGTCGCGCTAATTTAAAGATTGTCTTTACTTTGAGTTCTTTTTTTGCTTCTTGAAACATTTTTCATTTCATGTGTTTGTGTTTTACCATTATTCATTTGCAGTGGGTTCCAGGTTTACATCATGTTTACACCTTGCTGCCCCTTTTTACAGTAATTCTAGCTGTTCTTAACTTGCACTTTTTTTGGTCCTAGCATTTTTTCTTTGCCTATTTTTAGATGTTGTCTCTTAGTTTAAGTTTTGTTTTCACTAGATGACTTTTTGAGTTCTCAGGACCTTTTGAAGTTGTTGTGAAGTCATCTAGTTACACAGTATTTGCACCTCTTGACCACAATAGAAAAATAAACAAGGACAACCGTATTTTCCAAATAAAAAAAAAATAAAAAAAAGAATTTATCCCTCTTCTCATCTTTCCAGTGGTTTAAAGGTGACTCATACAGTGCAAATATCATTATTGCAGGAAGAATTGCCTTTGACTGAGCCTGAGAACAGGCAGAGAGAAAAGAAAGAGTAAGAACCTGAATTGAGTGACAAGTGCATTTGAGCTGAGGGGAAGTGCAACGGTGTTGGGAAGTCAGAGAGTGCACAAGGGTATTTTCGATGATAGATTAAAGAAAAGAAGAAAATGATCAACAAGGACGTATGCGGCACCATGGGGAGAGTCAGTCTTAGAAAGGCATAAGAAGGAGGATAAGTGAGAAAAGAAAGGTTGAATGGAAGGCAAATGAAAAGGGATGAAAATTCTAGAGAGAAAAATAAAGGGGAAGCAGTGTAGCTTGTGGAGACAATTGAGGTAATATGTTAGTAAATGACACGACAAACAAATATTTTTTATTTGCTAGTACTCTTACAGATTACCAATATATGTCTTCTTCCATCTTACTAATGTCCTACTTTTGAACACACCCCAGTCTCACTGAAATGTGTAATATGTAACCATGTTTGTCAACACGGAAAATGACTCACAAATAACTTCTAATCCCTCATTTTATTTACAACATTTATTCATATTGGCTTGCATCCAGGGACATATTTCATAAAACCAGGTATTGGGATAAAGTCAGAATTTCCAGATATCTTGGCCTAGTTTAGTCTCAACTTGGTTTCATAGAAGCAGTATCATGTAGGTTACCAACATGATTTATTCTGTGCAATGTCTGTTTCTGCTGGGGATAAAAGAACGTCTAACTTAATTCTGGATTTGATATCTGCATAACACAAATCAGAAGCCAGTGAGTTATTCAATCTACTTCTATATGTTTCGATACTTTTAATCAGTCTAAAAACCACTTATACAGTAGTAGCAATTCACAATTTCCCCACTTTCCTTGATAGGCCCTTGGCTGGTTTTTTACAATTCCTTTTTAAACATCAATATTTGTACTAAAATATTCTTTCGGTCATGATTTGTGGACATTAAGATCTTAAGAGAAGCTGCTACTTTAAATGTTTTATATTTTCAAGCACTTAAATTAATTTAAAGTTGTTACTATGGCCTATACTATTAC